ATCTGTCTTGTGCCAACTGTACTATCAGTCCAGCCACAAGACCCCAAGAGGGGTGGAAGGGAAGTTTCCCCCTCCCCAAGAGCACAGATAGGATCATAGCCCCTGCTATGACACTCACCAACCAAAACAGTGGTTCTCAGACTGTATCCAAAGGAAACCAAGAGGCCTCAGATCTGCTGTGAGAGCTACACAAGGACCTGATTATTTTTACCCTTCACCTGCAACCCATTCTCAAATGTGTTCTATACCAAATTTTAACACACTAGAGACGGCCTAAATATTAAACACTTCTGCCAGGATAACTCACTTTTGTATAGGCCTCCCCCCAGGATAAAACTTTGTTGCATTCTCTTGTTTAGTTATGAACACCCAAGACTGCAGAGCTTGGCTGGCAAACACACCAGGTGTGCATTTGCCCCAAATACAAAAAGATGCCTGCAGGAGGCCACTTGTTGCAGGACTGCTAATGGAGACGAGACTGAATCAACCCATGAGCCCATCAACAGGGGACGGGTTGACCACACAGTGGAGCTCTGCGAAGCTACAAAAGCAGTCAGGACCTTGACCACGGATCCCTTGGAGCCTCCTCAAGGATGGACGGTTACATGAAAAAAGGCAAGGAGGAGGAAACATGGATAGAAAGGAGGGTCCTCCAAAAACCGCAATAAACTAAGAAAACCGGAGGTCTGTAGCTCTAGGGGAAGGACCTGGCGTCCCCATAGGTCTGTAACCTCTGCTCGGCTCCCGACCGGCCCCCTTCCCGTGGCGGCCCCTGCGCTCCAGCTTTTCCGCGGTCTTTAGGGTTTACGTGCGGCCGGCCTTCTGGGCATCGCAGGCTCTCCGAACCCGCCGGGCTTTCCCGGGACCGGGCCCAGACGGCACACCTCCCGGACCGGGGGCGGCTGGGCACCCAGATTTTGCTCCCTGCCTACGAGGGTGCTGGAGGAGGGATGTTCCCGGAGGAAGGGTTCGAAAGACGGTGGGGGTCCCAAAGGGAAAGTGCGGGGAGAGGGCGCCTGTCCCGCTGAGAACCCGCGGAACCCGCCCGCGCGGGACAGGCGCGCCCCGGGCCCAGCCCCAGGGACAGCGTGGAGAAGCTGTCCGCCGCCTCCTCCTCCTTGACCGCCGTTTGCGCGCTCGGCTTCTCTGGGCACCGGGGGACGCCGGCGGAGGTCTTGGGGCCTAGGCAGTGGCGCGAGGAGCGCGGGAGAGGTGCCGGAGAGCGCAGAAAGCGCCGCCGGGAAGCGCAGGGAGCGCCAGGAGCAGGCGCCGGGAGGAGTCCCAGGCGGGCGGCGCGCGGGCTCCTGGGCCGCGGGGGCGGTGCCTCCCGCGCGCGCCAAGCCCCGCCTACGGGCAGTCA